CCCCCCCCTCCACCCCACACCGCTTCCATCAGCGGCACAGATAGCAGTGTTAGAACTATAGAAAATTCTCTCCCGCACTCCCAGTCGCCTCCCCCGCCCCCTTCCCTCTCCCAGGAGTTTCACTTTCCTTCTCCTCGCCCCGCTCGTCGTCCCCCTCCCCTTTCTAGTGGCCGCTCTGGATCCGCCCCTAAGATAATGAATTGGAAATACTAGTGAAGAGTGGTTTTAAGAAAAGCAAATGAAAATTACTACGTACGGGATTTCTGGAATTACTATGCTGATTGATAAAGAGAGAAAATAAATAACCAAAAAGGAATGTTTCGGCCCATTGAGTCTTATATATTGCTATTTAACAGTATAACTGGATCTAAATCGAAATTCGAGTGGCTTGAAAAAACGTAGTTTTTTTTGGGAAATTTGAGGCAACAGCAGAAAGCTAAGAGGATGGTAATCTGATGAAGGAGTTTCCTAAATTCGGATGCATCCTTTATAAAGAGATATCCGAAAAAGTGCCGTGAGATCGGAATCTTGTTATGTGTAGTAAAATCCTGGGCCTTGATTTGGATCAAAACATTTTGAGCCCCTTTTCAGCGCTGCAACTGGACCTCATCAGTATGACGGTTATGTTGTTATTTGTTATATAAAGCAGCAAAGACTCGATCGCCAAGTCTGTTTCTCTGGAGACGAGGGTGGAGGGAGGAGAGGGGTTCACAGCTATCGCACTAAGATATCTCAGCAATTTATTGATTCACAATTCCCCGGAGATTTGTTGTGATTTTTTTGTTAAATCTGTCATTTCCTTTTAAATTTTATGCACTTTGCCATTTGTTGTGTGTGACATCTTTCAGATCAATGGACATAAAAGTGGAGGGGCTAACGGTGACATTTCACGGACGTGAGATTGTCACGGATACGAAACTTGAGCTTAACATGGGACGTCGGTATGGCCTCATCGGTTTGAATGGAAGCGGTAAGTTTGTGTATTTATGCAGAAAGTGCATAAAGTTGCAAAAATTATGCACATAGGTAATACGGTGAAACCCCCAAAATGAAGCAGCGTAAAATTGCAGGACATGACCTAATTAGCTGCGTTCTCTTCAACTTCACATGCTTTCCTTTTATAGAAAATCCTCTTTTTTTTTTAAAAAAACCACCGTTCGGCCTTCATAGAGCTGTAATTTATTACCATTATCGTTATTGTCATTACTGTTATTATTATCACCATTATTATTATTATCATTATTACTGTCATTATTTTTATCATATTATTATTATCATTGCTATCATTATTATTTCTCATTCTGCATGTTCCCCAAAATGTTTTACATACGCATGCAGTATGTTTTAGTTGTTCGTTCATGTATCTTCTATATTTTACGTTGTTCAATCAAACAGTCATTTGCTGTATTGCTGTTCGTTCTCTTAATTACTTCCTATTCGTCCTCTTAATTACTGTGGTTTTTTTTATTATTGTTTGGTTTTAGGTAAATCTACTCTAATGCAAGCAATTTTCCGGCGCGAACTCCCAATTCCGGATCATGTGGATATGTTTCTCGTGTCTCGTGAAATGGCTGCTTGTAATGAAAGTGCTCTAAAAGTTAGTTGTCACAGCTTTTATTCAAAGCTAATATAATGCGAAGAAGTTATCCGTGTTTTTGTTGCATCGCAAATTTTTCTTTTTTATTTGATGACGTTTGAATTCGAGCCAGAAAACATCTCTGTATTTGGGGTGAGACTCGATTTTTGGGGGTACAGATTTAGTTTAGATAATCTAGGCATTGGTTTTTTCCCAATTATTCATTGGTTATCGAGATTTCTACTTTCTAACGCACTTAGCTCTATCGACAGTTTGCTTCTTTTCATTGCCTGGAAAGCAATGAAGGCTGCAC